TAGGATCAGTCCTGAAAGTCTCATGATAAAAGTAAACCACTCAGGCTAGATAACAGGAGGTCTTAGGGCTGCTGGTCTCCCCAGAACTTGGAGTTCTGAGATCTGCATTTGGGTGTACCACCCAAACAATAAAAACTCATAAAATAAGTGAGAAAATCTCTAACGCCTTCAATGTTATTGTCAACGTCCATCATTGCTGGTTAGCACTGATGCTTTAACATTTTTGAAGAGAAAATAAAAAGACATTTTCTTTTTACCAAATCCACTGAATGAATAGAAAAATATTTCTTTAAGGTTAAAGTCATAAAAGTGTTTATACATTTTGATGTAATAATTCCATTCCTACAAAATTTTCACTTTGTTTTTGAGACAGATCTCACTTTGTCTCAGATCAGTCTTGAACTCTCAGCCTCCCAGGTCTCTGGATTACAGGTGTGTGCTGCTGTGACCAGCCCACGTTCTTTTAATCAAGCACAACATATATACAGAAACCATAAATATAAATATGAATTTACAGAGTGAATATAGCCATGTAAAACACTCCTAAAAATCTGATGCCAGAAAATATTCACTTAAATGAATAATCTATAAGCCCCAAATGTTCACACACTGTTATAGTGAAAGGGTAGAAAAAAACTAAATATTTAATGTAGAAATAATTAGGTAAATGTTCACGCATTAACTCAGTAGAACATTATGGAGCCATTAAAAATGACGAATTTTTATAGTTTGAAGACTGTACAAAAAATTCACCAACTTGAATGCCACTGAGTTAAGCCTCAGATGTTCATCTGTAAAATAGGGATTAAAAAGAACGTCTCCCCTCATAAATCCATTATGAAGATTACATGAGATTGGAAAGGTAAAGTGGGTTGAAAACTGGTTGATGAGTAATTAATAAAGCATCTCTTCTCCCCCTCATTTTTTTTACTTTACTTTTTTATATGTGATGGCAGAATGCATTACAATTCATATAACGCATATAGAACACACATTTTCATATCTCTGGTTGTACACAAAGTAGAGTCACACCATTCGTGTCTTTATACAGGTACGTAGGGTAATGATGTCCATCTCATTCCACTGTCTTTCCTACCCCCATGCTCCCTACTCTCCCATCCCTCCCCTTTGCCCTACCTAGAGTTCAACTAATCTTCCCATGCCCCCACCACCACATTATGAATCAGCATCCTTAAATCAGAGAAAACATTCGGCATTTGGTTTTTTGGGATTGGCTAACTTTACTTAACATTATATTCTTCAGCCCCCTCCATTTACCTGCAAATGCCATAATTTTATTCTCTTTTAATGCTGAATAATATTCCATTGTGTATATATACCCCAGTTTCTTTATCCATTAATCTACTGAAGGGCATCTAGGTTGGTTCCACAGTAAAGCTATTGTGAATTGTGTTGCTATAAACATTGATGTGGCTGTGTCCCTGTAGTATGCTTTTTGGGTATATTCCAAGGAAAGGGATAGCTGGGTCAAATTCCATTCTCAGCTTTCCAAGGAATCTCCATACTGCTTTCCATATTGGCTGCACTAATTTGCAGTCCCACCAGCAATGTATGAGTGTACCTTTTTCCCCACATCCTCGCCAACACTAATTATTGTTTGTCTTCCTAATAGCTGCCATTCTGACTGGAATGAGATAATATCTTAGAGTAGTTTAATTTCAATTTATCTAATTGATAGAGATGTTGAACATTTTCTCATATATTTATTGATTGATTGTATATCATCTTCTGAGAAGTGTCTGTTCAATTCCTTGGCCCATTTATTGATTGGATTATTTGTTTTTGGTGTTAAGATTTTTGAGTTATTTATATATCCTGGAGATTAGTGCTCTATTGATGGAGATCTGGGCCAACTTTTTCTTCTATTAGATTCATTGTCTCTGGTTTGATTCCCAGGTCCTTGATCCACTTTGAGTTAAGTTTTTTACATAGTGAGAGATAGGGGTTTAATTTCATTTTGTTGCATATGGATTTCCAGTGTTCCCAGCACTATTTGTTGAAGAGGCTATCTTTTCTCCAATGTATGTTTTGGTGGCTTGTCTAATATAAGATAACTGTAATTATGTGGGTTAGTCTCTGTGTCTTCTGTTATATACCATTTGTCTACCAGTCTATTTTGGTGCCAATACTATGCTGTTTTTGTTACTATTTCTCTATAGTACAGTTTAAGGTCTGGTATAGTGATGCCACCCGCTTCACTCTTCTTACTAAGGATTGCTTTAGCTATTCTGGGTCTCTTATTTTTCCAGAGGAATTTCATGGCTGCTTTTACTATTTCTATGAGGGATGTCATTAGTATTTTGATTGGAATTATATTAAATTTGTACAGTGCTTTTGGTAATAGTTATTTTGACAATATTAATTCTGCCTATCCAAGAACAAGGGATTTCTTTCCATCTTCTAAGGTCTTCTTTAATTTCTTCCTTTAGCATTCTGTAGTTTTCATGTTCATCAAGTTGATTCCCAAGTATTTTTTTTTTGAGGCTATTGTAAATGGAGTAGTTTTCCTTTCAGAGGAATTGTCATTGATATACAGAAATGCCTTTGATTTATGGGTGTTGATTTTATATCCTGCTACTTTGCTAAATTTATTTACTAGTTCTAAAAAATTTTGTGGTGGAATTTTTTGGGTCTTCTAGGTATAGAATCATATCATCAGAAAATAGTGCTGATTTGAGTTCTTCTTTTCCTATCCATATCCCTTTAATTTCTTTCATCAGTCTAACTGCTCTGGCCAGTGTTTCAAGAACCATGTTAAATAGTAGTGGTGAAAGAGGGCATCCCTGTCTTGTTCCAGTTTTTAGAGGGAATTCTTTCAATTTTTCTCCATTTAGATTGATATTGGCCTGGGACTTAGCATAGATGGCTTTTATAATGTTGAGATATGTTCCTTTTTTTATGATATGTTCCTTTTATCCCTAGTTTTTCTAGTGTTTTGAACATGAAGGAGTGCTTCGTTTTGTTGAATGCTTTTTCTGCATCTATTGAGATGATCATATGGTTCTTATCTTTAAGTCTATTGATGTGATGAATTACATTTATTGATTTCCAAATGTTGAACCAACCAAGGTTCATCCCTGGGATGAACCCCACTTGATCATGGTGCACTATCTTATTTATATGTTTTTGTATGCAATTTTCCAGAATTTTATTGAGAACTTTTGCATCTATGTTCATTAGAGATATTGATCTGAAATTTTCTTTCTTTGATGTGTCTTTGCCTGGTTTTTTGATTCAGGGTGATATTGGCCTCATGGAATGAGTTTGGAAATGCTCCCCTTTTTTCTATTTCATGAAATAAATTGAAGAGTCTTGGTATTAGCTTTTCATTAAAGGTCTTGTAGAACTTGGCTGTGTATCCATCTGGTCCTGGGCTTTTCTTGGTTGGTAGACTTCTGATGGCATCTTCTATTTCATCGTTTGAAATTGATCTATTTATATTGTGTATATCATCCTGATTCAATTTGGGCAAATCATATGACTAGAAATTTGTCGATGCCTTCAATATTTTCTATTTTATTGGAGTACAAGTTTTCAAAATAATTTCTAATTATCTTCTGTATTTCTGTAGTGTCTGTTGTGATATTTCCTTTTTCATCATGTAGGTTAATAATTTGAATTTTCTCTCTCCTTCTCTTCATTAGCATGGCTAAGGGTTTGTCAATTTTATTTATTTTTTCAAAGAACCAACTTTTGTTTTTTCAATTTTTTCTTTTGTTTAAATATCATTGATTTCAGCTTTGATTTTAATTAGTTCCTGTCTTCTAATACCTTTGTGTTGATTTGTTCTTCTTTTTCTAGGACTTTGAGATGTATTATTAATTCATTTATTGTTGGCTTTTTCTTCTTTTAAGTAATGAACTCCATGCAATGAACTTTCCTCTTAGTACTCCTTCATAGTGGCCAGAGATTTTGATATGTTGTATCTATGTTCTCATTCACCTCTCAGAATTTTTTAATCTCTTCTTTGATGTATTTTGCAATCCATTGTTTATTCAGTAGCATATTATTTAGTCTCCAGGTGTTGGAGTAGCTTTTATTTTTATTTTATCATTGATTTCTAATTTCATTCCATTATGACCTGCTAGAATACAGGGTAGTATCTCTACTTTTTTGTATTTGCTAAGAGTTGCTTTGTGGCATAATATATGGTCTATTTTAGAGAAGGATCCATGTGCTGCTGAGAAGAAAGTGTATTCACTCGTTGAGGATGAATATTCTATATATGTCAGTTAAGCTAAATTATTAATTATATTATTGAGTTCTATAGTTTTCTTTGTTTAGATTTTGTATGAAAGATCTATCCACTGGTGAAAGAGGTGTGTTAAAAATCATCCAGAATTATTGTATTGTCATCTATTTGACTTTTGAACTTGAGAAGATTTGTTTGATAAATATAGATGCTTCATTGTTTGGGGAATATAAATTTATTATTGTTAAGTCTTGTTGATGAATGGTTCCCTGAAGCAGTGTGAAATCTCCTTCTTTATTTCTTTTGTTTAACTTTGGCTTGAAGTCTACTTTATTTGATATAAGGATGGAAACCCCTGTTTGCTTCTGCAGTCTATGTGAGTGGTATGATTTTTCCCAACCTTTCACCTTCAGTCTGTGGATGTCTTTTCCTATGAGATGAGTCTCTTGGAGGCAGCATATAGTTGGGTCTTTTTGTGTGTGTGTGTGTGTGTGTGTGTTTGTGTGTGTGTTTAGATACACACATGAAGGCAAAAATTTACCTAAATTATCTACTGCTATATACACAATTCCTGGAAGTTTACTTGGAACATAACGGACATTCAAGGATTCTTCATTAAATAGTTTTGAATGTTTAGGGTGACATTGTATCTTACTTTTCTTTTTTCTAAATCCCAGGATGACAATGTTATTTATATAATCAAAAATTTCAAAACCACATTTTTTTTCAGGCCATCTCCATGGATAACTCTTTATAATAATTTCTTTTTTTTTTTTTTTTTTGGCAGATTGGCCATGCAGAAGCTGGGAACACAAGTATTTGAGGAGGTCTACAATTACCTCAAGAGAGCAAGGCATCAGAATGCCAGTGAAACAGAGATCCGGGAGTGTCTCGAAAAAGTGGTCCCTCGGGCCAGTGACTGCTTTGAAGTTGACCAGCTTCTCTATTTTGAGGAACAGTTACTGACCACAATGAGGAAAGAACCCACTCTCCAGGACCCTCACTAAGGAACCATGACAAACAAGCAGAAGTTCAAGTAGACAAATTTCTGTGAAAATCCATGAACTGTATAAGCTGGACTTTATTATGGGAAATGGGCACATAACTGGTGCTCCCATCTTTAACTTCCATTCTTTAATGACTCCTTTAGGAGTAGTGAGCATGGCTGCCTGTTCTGGGAGTCAGAGGTCATATGTGTTGTTTGATCTCTGTCCTGAGATAAGCTTACAGATCAATCTTGGCATCCTGTAAGGGATTTCCCTCATGCGTGCCTCAGGGCTCCCATGAGGGTTGGATCGTCCCAATGATGGCCGAGGAGAAGCCAGCTGCTCTTTGCCATCTCTAGTTGGAGGACAGAGCTCAGGCCTGGCTGCCTTTAGTCTCAGTGAACTGTGACCAGCTTGCTTGGGAGAGCTGTTGGACACTGGCCTCTCTGACAAGCTGGGCTGCCCAGGAGTCAGACAGGCCTTTCTCTCCCCAATTATTATTTTTTTATTATTTACTGTTACTTGATTTTATATCTCACCTTCCTTTTCACCTTTTTTTCTCCTGACACTAGTGATTCTAGCCTTCTTGCTATTTCCCCAACATGTTTTAGCTTTGGGGCCCAAATTCCCTTACCCCTGTATTTCCCTTTTTTCATGAGGGTCTCTGCTCAGATGACAGCTCCTCAGAAAGGTTTCTTTGCTCTCCCACTTTGCTTTCTCTTCATTTTGCTGAGCACCCATTTTTGGTCCATGTTTCCCTTACATGACCAGCAAGCAAGATGTACATGAATACAAAAACCTGGATTAAAATACAAAAAGCAATTCCCTTCTGGGATTTACTCCCCAGACTCATCTGTGGAGAACTGAAGATTTCTATTCATAATAAATATATATTCCACTGTTACAAAATCACCTATTTTATCTTTTCCTTATGTAAAAGTATCTTGTTAAATGTGACACTACTTTCAAATAATAGTTATTACTTAGTAGAGAGGAGAGGAGAAAGCACATGTGAGCTTTTCTTGATGGGTGGTGGGTACTGGGGATTGAACTCAGGGGCACTCGATCACTGGACCACATCCCCAGTCCTATTTTGTATTTTATTTAGAGACAGGGTCTCACTGAGTTGCTGAACACTTTACCATTGCTGAGGCTGGTTTTGAACTAGCAATCCTCCTGCCTCAGCCTCCTGAGCTGCTAGGATTATTGGCGCAAGCCACCACACGTGCTAATAGGAAAGAGACCTCAACCCAAGAAGAGCACTCCGGAGCCTCTTTGGCCTTTTATGACCAAATGGATTGCAGATAGGTCTGGAACAAGGGGGGCAACAGTAGAATTTAAGTTAATAAAAAGTTTCTAAGTCTTTCTGCTGATGGTTTTTACAACATTAGAGCAGAAGAAGGCTTGTACAAGTTGCTGGGTCTGACAAGGAAATTGTCAGAAATTTCAGTCTCTACCATCTTCCACAAACAGATTAACATGCTCAGATAATAATACTCTGCATTTTAAAATCTGTTTCTAAGGAGACAGGAACAAACAAAATATCTTACCCTTCAGAGATTTGTGTTGTATACCACATCAGGCTTATAAGAAAAGAGAGCTGGGGAAATATCATTCAGGATAATCATTTCTTATAAGAGAAGCTTACTTAAGTTTATCCTTCCTTTGGTTTACTGAAATGGGAGTTGGGAGCAAAACTTAACATGACTTGAAGAATATACCTCCTTATCATTACTACTTGGAAAATTCTTTCTCTTTTAGCTATATCCAGTCGTAATTTGGGGCCACTTCAATGTGGGAATTAATAACTAAATCAAAGAAATAGGAAGTTGCTTAGTATGAAACAGATAAAGGTATCAGGGGATAGCCTTGCTGCTTTATTAAAGAAAATGCACACACATACACATGCGCGTACACGCGCGCACACACACACACACACACACACACACGTTTCACAAACTCCAATTGACCTTTCTGCTTTCTATTTATGCAGAGGAAATGCCACTAGCTATTTTGGGTGATGCAGAGATAAAGGGGAGTGATAGAAGTTAATTATTTAATGTCTTCGGGGCTGAGGCTGGAGCAAAAGCTTTAGGCGTATTATAAGGGAGTCCAGCCATCACAGTGGGCTCAGGATAAAGGAAGCAGACAAATTAAGCAGTAGCTCAAGGGGGGGGGGATGGCAGGGGACACAAAACAGTCTTTTAAGGTGATGGGAAGACTAATGGGTTAGAAGGGAATGGGGCCAGGCCACAAAGATGGTAAAGGAGCAGTAGTGAGACAATAAGGAGGAGAGGGGTGTGTGTATGTGTGAAAGAGAGGATGGGGGACAGGGCTGGGGTGGACACAGATTAAAGAATGTTCTCAAATAATTCTGCCACAACCTGTGTGATGGGGGGGAATTGAATGCTTTTGAAGACTTGGATTCTAGACTTAACTCTTGCCATTACCGTGTGATCTGGAGCAAGTCATTTCCTCTCCACCTGTTTCCTGCCTATGTCTAAACATTGCTGTAGAGAATCGAAATAGTGTAATGGGTTAAATCAAGTGAAATTGTCATTGTGGTTCAGCCTATTATGTAGAAGTGCTTCGAATGCTATAAAAAGCCCTCATCTTTGGAGGAGGAATCTTTCACTTTATTTTTAGGCTGCCTGATCTTCCATCATTAGTGTTTTAGCCCTGAATGCTTCCTTAGGCTTCTAACATCCTGCTATTATCATACAAATGCACCCCCCCCACGAGAAATAATAATAATCACTTTGACATTTTCAGCTGGCACTTGACGAGCTGGGAACCAACAAAGGAGTGAGAAAATCTCGCAGAGAGCAGCTCAGAAAAGACACACACACATTGCACCGGTCCTGGACGTTGAGGACATGTCTTCAGACGTAGGCCTGTCACCCTATGGATTGAGCTACACTCACCTGTTCCTTTGTGATATTACCCCTTGCCCTGTTTGGGATAGAATGTTCCATGGAAACACTTTGTGTGTTCCTTTCCTTGCTCTGCCTTTGGGAGTGGCCTTCCTAGATGTCAGACAATGGGATGACAGCAGACATCAGGAAGCTAGACTCAGCCCCCTGAAACCTGACCCCTTGCCTCATTTGAATGGCTTCTCCTCAATAAAAGGGTTCAGCATGCGCTCTCTTGCTCTCTTTCTGCAGACCCTTAAGGTCAGAGGAGCCAACACAGGACCCCAAAGAAAAAGGTATCTCTGTCTCTTGTGTGGTTATTTCATGCAGCCCGGTTCCCCTGGTGTGACCCTGAGTGTTATAGTCGTGAGGAACGGGACATCTCCCCACCCTGCCTATGGAACTTCAAAGTAATCATCACCAGACCCCAGGATTCCCAGTAGTTCTTTTCTAATTTTATCAGGAAGTTTATAAATTTGGTTCAACAAATATGCATTATAAAAATAAGGTCTTCACAAATATTTACTAGAAGTACCATAATCAGGGTTTGAATGTCCCCACCCAGACTCAGGTTGAAATTCAATCCCCATTGTGAGGTAGTGAGAGGTGGCACCAGGAGTGACCTTTAAGAGGTGATGAAATCGTGAGGTCTCTACCCTTACAGATGATCCATTAATGAAGTGATGGGTTCATGGGCTATGGTTTTTCTCCAGAGTGGGTGTGTTATAAAAATCAGTTTGGCTTTGTCTCTTTTAGGCAGCCTTCTCACTATGTGATGCCCTGGGCCACCTCAGGTCTCTGCAGAGTCCCTCACCAGGTGTGCCTCCTTGATCTTGGACCTCCCAGCCTCTAGAACCATGATCTGAATAGAACTTTATTTTTTTAAAAAAAATCACCCAGTCTGTGGTGTTCACTTACAGCAACAGAAAACAGACTGAGACATCCAGAATTGAAAACCTGACTCCAGCAGGAATATTGTCAAAGTAAATTTGTAGGTCTACTACAGGAGACAGTCTTTCTATAGCTAGAAACATGTTTGTCTTTCCAAATACTGTGAATTTTCCTGCCTCAGGAGCTTGAATTTTCCAGCTCAATTCTTCTCTCCCTATACCCTTGACAGTTGTCACTTTTGTAGTTTTCAATATTTTGCCAACTACTTCACTCCGAGTTTGGCTATGGAACTTGTCCTGGCTGAGTGATGAACTCAGAGGCTGGAAATGTGTTGGTGCAGTTGGCTCTGTTCACCTGCACATCTGTCATCACCAGTTAGCTCCCAGATTAGAAGACAATGATAAGAGACTTGGAGCAGAGAGCTCTGGAGGTAACCCACAGAATGATGCAACGTCACCCCAGCCAATATGGAATAGAGCAAAAGTCACTTTGGGCAATCTGCAAACTTCTGAGCAAGAAACCAGTGTTTGTTATTGTATGCTGTTCAGGTTTTGTGACTGTTATGCAGCAATATTATGGCAACAAGCTAACCAATGTCTTCCCTCTCCAAACATTATTTTCTCTAACACTTACTAAATCCTCAAGTTATATGCTTTTTGGCATTAATTTTTGTTGATCTGGGGAAAGTTTTATCACCAATGAAATGACTGTGACTTCTGGGCTGGGGATGTGGCTCAAGCGGTCGCATGCTCGCCTGGCATGTGTGCGGCCCGGGTTTGATCCTCAGCACCACATACAAACAAAGATGTTGTGTCCGCCAAATACTAAAAAATAAATATTAAAATTCTCTCTCTCCCTCTCTCTTTATAAATAAATAAATAAATAAATAAATAAAGATGTTGTGTCCACCGAAAACTAAAAAAAAAAACATTAAAAAAAATTCTCTCTCTTAAAAAAAAATGACTGTGACTTCTTAGAAAAATAAATAGGGATATCCCTTTTCAAAACAGCCCAGGTGAACCATGCATGCTTTCTTTCCTGGCTTTTAGCACGTACTTAAAGGCAACACTCACTGGGAGCATGGAGCTTACCTGGACCATCTTTTCTGAAGCTATGGTCTAATTCTTCTTTATATTTCAACTTAACATGTATTGAGTTCCCATCTTGTACCAGGCTCTAAATTTAGGCATACACTTTTGAGAGATAAGAATTTACGAGAGCTTCCAATCACTCCTGCAAGGTAGGCGGGCCTGCTGAGAGGCAGAGCTGCCCCCTCCCCCTGC